GCTAGGAGTGAGCAGGGCCCCGGGGAGGGAAGGTGGTCAAGGCTCAGCTGGAGTGAGCGGGCCCCGGGGAGGGAAGGTGGTCAAGGCTCAGCTAGGAGTGAGCGGGGCCCCGGGGAGGGAAGGTGGTCAAGGCTCAGCTAGGAGTGAGCGGGGCCTCGGGGAGGGAAGGTGGTCAAGGCTCAGCTAGGAGTGAGCGGGCCCCGGGGAGGGAAGGTGGTCAAGGCTCAGCTAGGAGTGAGCGGGCCCCGGGGAGGGAAGGTGGTCAAGGCTCAGCTAGGAGTGAGCGGGTCCCCTGGGAGGGAAGGTGGTCAAGGCTCAGCTAGGAGTGAGCGGGGCCCGGGGAGGGAAGGTGGTCAAGGCTCAGCTAGGAGTGAGCGGGGCCCCGGGGAGGGAAGGTGGTCAAGGCTCAGCTAGGAGTGAGTGGGGCCCCAGGGAGGGAAGGTGGTCAAGGATCAGCTAGCAGTGAGCGGGCCCCGGGGAGGGAAGGTGGTCAAGGCTCAGCTAGGAGTGAGCAGGGCCCCGGGGAGGGAAGGTGGTCAAGGCTCAGCTAGGAGTGAGCGGGCCCCGGGGAGGGAAGGTGGTCAAGGCTCAGCTAGGAGTGAGCGGGGCCCTGGGGAGGGAAGGTGGTCAAGGCTCAGCTAGGAGTGAGCGGGCCCCGGGGAGGGAAGGTGGTCAAGGCTCAGCTAGGAGTGAGCAGGGCCACGGGGAGGGAAGGTGGTCAAGGCTCAGCTAGGAGTGAGCAGGGCCCCGGGGAGGGAAGGTGGTCAAGGCTCAGCTAGGAGTGAGCGGGCCCCGGGGAGGGAAGGTGGTCAAGGCTCAGCTGGAGTGAGCGGGCCCCGGGGAGGGAAGGTGGTCAAGGCCCAGGTAGGAGTGAGCGGGGCCCCGGGGAGGGAAGGTGGTCAAGGCTCAGCTAGGAGTGAGTGGGCCGCAGGGAGGGAAGGTGGTCCAGGCTCAGTTAGCAGTGAGCGGGGCCCCGGGGAGGGAAGGTGGTCAAGGCTCAGCTAGGAGTGAGCGGGCCCCGGGGAGGGAAGGTGGTCAAGGCTCAGCTAGGAGTGAGCGGGGCCCCGGGGAGGGAAGGTGGTCAAGGTTCAGCTAGGAGTGAGCGGGGCCCCAGGGAGGGAAGGTGGTCAAGGATCAGCTAGCAGTGAGCAGGGCCCCGGGGAGGGAAGGTGGTCAAGGCTCAGCTAGGAGTGAGCAGGGCCACGGGGAGGGAAGGTGGTCAGAGGAGGGAAGAGAGAGACCCCATGGACTTGCACGCTGGAAACCGTGCACGAGCTGGATAACAATCCCAGCCAGCCCAGTCTCTGGATGTCCAAGGGCCCATCAGTGTTTCTGGAATGATTTCACGTAGTCAGACTGAAATTGTTTTCACAGGTTAAACAGACCTATACACGTCATTTTTAATAGGGGCAAATGAACTAAAGAAACCTGGAAAGTGTTTATCCTGTTATATCTTATACCACTTGGTCCATTTTGAAACACCATAAGGAGTTTCTACCAATTTAAAAATCAGTTCCACTGAGGGGTTTTTAATTTTTCCTTTTAAAAAATAAACTTGATTTACTTTAAAAAAAGAAGACGACCACGAAGAAGAAGGAGAACCTGTGCAGGGATGTTTATAGCATTTCTATTCATAAGTGCCAAAACCTGGGACAATCAAGATGTGCTTCAGTAGGTGAATGACCACATAAGCAGGGGTGCATCCAGATAGTGGGACATTATTCAGTGCTAAAAAGAAACGAGCTATCAAGCCAGGAAAAGATCTGGACGGACCTTAAAGGCATATCAGTGAGTGAAGGCAGCCAATCTGAAAAGGAACATCCTGTATGATTACAATTATATGACATTCTGGAAAAGGCACCACTATGAAGAGAGTAAAAAGATCAGGGGTTGCCAGGGGTGAGTGGGCAGGGAGGGGTAAAGAAGCAGAATGCAGAGGATTCTCAGCGCAGTGAAGCTACCCTGTATGATACCACAGTGGTGGCCACAAGTCATTAATAGGCTTCCCAGGTGACTCAGTGGTAAACAGTCGGCCTGCCAAGGCAGGAGGCACAGGTTCGATCCCTGGATTGAGAAGAACCCCTGGAGGAGGAAATGGCAACCCACTCCAGTATTCTTGCCTGGAAAATTCCATGGACAGAGGAGCCTGGCAGGCTACAGTCCATGAGGTTCTCAAAGAGCTGGACACAACTAAGCACATATATGCACAGACCCACAGAATGTACCATGCCAAGAACACACCCTAATATAATCTGTGGACACTGAGGACAATGATGTGTCAGTGGAGGTTCATCAGACTGTAACAAACATACCAACTGGTGGGGGACGCTGATAAATGGGGGAGGCTGCACATGTGTCAGGGTGGGGGGTATACCAGAAGTCTCTGCCCCTTCTGCTCAGTTTTGCCTTGAACCTAAATCTGCTCTTAAAAAGAAAGTCTATTAAACAAAGCAAAACAAAGTATGTCTTCAAGGCTCAGACTTTCTTATTGTCCCTGAGACTTACTAAGGCACTCTTTGGGGATAGAATGAGGAGGGGGAAAATAGAATGAGTAGGGGGTGGGGCAGGTGGGCCCTAGCATAGTATTTTCTCCTCTGGGAATATGCAACTTCTTTCCCAGGGCTCCCCTGATGGTCTCAGAAGACTCCCTTTGCCTCAGTCTATTATTTTCTCTCTCCTTGACTCCGCCCAAGGGAACTCAGGAAGCATGTATCACATGTACTCTCACCCACAAGCCCTAAGCATTATGTGGAGGGTGTTTTCTCCTTGTCAGCATCCATACCTTATGCACATCTAAATACATTATTCTTCTGGATCCCCGTTACATTTTTTTTTTCCTTCTTAATTTTATTTATTTATTTTGTTGCTGTGCCCCCAGGCTTTCTCCAGTTGTGGAGCTCAGGCTTCTCATTGCAACGGCCTCTCTTGCTGCGGAGCATGGGCTCTGGCGTGTGCAGGCTGAGCAGCTGTGGTGTATGGGGTTAGCTGCCTGGAGGCCTGTGGGATCCTCCGGGACCAGGAGAGTTCCCAACCACGGGACCACCAGGGGAGTCCCCCATTACCTTTTATATATCTGTGGTTGCACTTATACATAAAATTAATAACTTAAACATATATATATACATGTGTGTATGTATATATATATATATATATATACCTTAATTATATATGTCTATCATCAGAGTCACATAAATAATGCTTATTTTAAACATTCAATATAATTCAGGGCAACATTTATTGAACCAAAATATGTGCCAGTCACTGTCCTCAATCTCATGAAGTTCTCAAACTGTTAGTTCAATTTGCATTACATCATAGTTCTTTCCCAGAACACATTTAATAAGTGCTTTTGTATGCTGTTGATAAAGATAAATCTATTCATACCAAAATAAACCAGTTACTCCATGTTTTCTAGTCCAGAAACTTGGCAGACCAAATGACTATCTTAATTGTTCCTTTCTGCATCTAACTTTATTCATTTAAACTCTTTTCATATTCTCTGTTTTATTTCCCTAGGACTTAAGGTTTTAGATATTAACACAAGGAAGCTAGCCTTCTTCAAGAGCCCACACTTGGAATATTTATAAAGAGCTCTGTTGTCACTTAAACTCCATAAAAGCAGTTAGAGAATGCTTCTCGCTCAGTTAAAGAAAGAGAAGACAAAATCCACGTTCAACTGGTAACTTTCTATAGTCCTTCAGAACACAGAGGTTATTTAAAATATTCAGTAAAAGTACAGAGTCCTTGGGGCAGCCAAAGAAGATAAAAGAATTTCCAGCACACCGTATACCTTCCGAAGAGAAATACTGAGAGCAAAAATAGTTTCCCAGCTCAGTCATTCTTTGGGATTGACAGTTAATTCCTGATGGTCCCCCAGGAGAGAGGAAGGGGAGAAAAAGAGTGTGCCTGACTCCTGTAACAGTAATTATTCACAGCTCTTTTTCCTCATAAAGTAATAGACCATTAGAGCGTCCACAAAATTCCCTTCAGTAATTTAATCGTAGGGCTTCCGCAGTGGCTCAGACAGTAAAGACTCTGCCAGCAACACAGGAGATCCGAGTTTGACCCCTGGGTTGGGAAGACCCCCTGGAGAAGGAAATGGTAACCCACACCAGTATTCTTGCCTGGAGAATTCCATGGACAGAGGAGTCTGGCGGGTTACAGTCTGTCAAAGAATCGCAAAGAGTCGGACACGACTGCGAGACTAACAACTTTAACTTTCTGCATTTTATAAGTCATGTTTTTTAACCCAAGAAAAGACAAACAAAAGTATACTTTACAGTAATTCACCCCACTTATTTTTATTAAGTTTCCAATTCTAAAGCTTTCGTTCGCCTATAAAAATGACACAGACCATTTTGAGATTCTTCTGTGTCATTATTAAAACTAGAAGTTTCTTGACTGCCACCTACTGGTAAGAAAAAAAGTGACAACATTTTAAAAGTTACATTTTCTCGGATTTTCTGGTTCAGGGGTGTAAATATTTATTTTTATTTTTATTTTTTTCAGGGGTGTAAATATTTTAACTTTTTTAAAATAGAATTTTGGACATATAGCACATTTTCTATGTTTAAACTCAAATTAATTAACCATGTATTACTAGAGTTTTTCAAAATAAATATGATTTTTACTTTCCCAATTTAATATTTTTCTAGTATTATTACTAGAAATCACATAGATGGATTATAGCAGCTAGATTTAAAGTTTGTTTTTCATAGACATGGAACCTAGTCTAACTGATGGTGAAATGAGAGGTCACTTCAAGATTAGCCAGTCAAATCAAACAAAAAACATATGGTGAAACACTGATGAGGGATGTCATTCAGTCTATTTTTACCAACAAATAAACTGTGAAGACGAAACAACTCCAATAATAGGTAGAGTACACAGTGGCAAATGTAGCCAGACTTTTCCAGGTAAAACATGAGCTGCAGGGAGAGTATCTATACATTCACCATTTGCATATCAGCACTTAGTTTTTTGTAATCAGTGAAACATACCTGGCTTAAAATGTGGTAAAGAGTGAACTCCAGGCCATGTGTCCTCATTTGGCGTTCCAAGAACCTAGTGGAGAGCAGGAAATTGTGGAAACAGACTTATTATTTCCAAACCACTCAAGATTCTCCAGTGTAGAAAACAGTACACTGCATATGATGAAACTCTTGATTTCTTTTTTTTTTTTTTCCGTTAATGTGTGCCAGGGATTTTATTTCAGTAAAAACAGCTAGAGCCACCCAAATCGAATGTCTGTGTTTTAACAAATGCAGCTAAATGAGGTGAGGCAAGTTAAATCTGCTGTGTTTTATCAACTCCAAACTTAAGAAGTAGGCCTAGAATGCAAAGGATGAGCTGTCATCTTCACAGAACTGAATAAAGTATGTCTGTGCCCCTCATGATTCTTTCAAGAGCTTTTGTCCTTCACTGCGGCATCAGACATGTCATCATTTAACAGTTCTAAGAATTCTGTTACTTCTTCCCCCACATCCGCTCTCTGGGCAGCAGAATGTTTCAAAGGATAGACGGCTTGGGACGCTTACATTCCCCACTGGTCGCACTATTTGTCATAGTTAACAGCTTCAGTCACGTGACACAGAGTTCCTTCATCCCCAAATACTGTTCTCCCGACACTACCTTTTTCTTTGCACACTTTCAGTTTCTTTCCCCATTGTCAACTACAAATTGGCATGTGCCAAGCATCGCTGATGGCTCAGATGGTGAAGAATCTGCCTGCAATGTGGAAGACCACGGTTCGATCCCTGGGCTGGGAAGATCCCCTGGAGGAGGGCATGGCAACCCACTCCAGTGTTCTTGCCTGGAGACTCCCATGGACAGAGGAGCCGGGAGAGCTGCAGTCCACGGGATCGGAAAGAGTCAGACACGACTTAGCGACTAAGTACACAGCACAGCACAAGAGCACTGCCAATAACTGCACAACAGGGGCGTTTGCCATCCGCCTCTGAGGGCAAGAACCCTGTGCTGGGGCGGCTGCTGGCCTTCAACACCCCCTAAGGGAGTTCAGGGTGGGGTGAGGCACTCTGTGCTCCAGGGAATCTGGTGGGACAGGTCTTTAGACAGGTGGATATTTTCAGGAACTGACCTCATGATCCCAATATTTGCATCTCTTCCTATCTAGCAAAGCACTAAATCCCTTCATGGTGACATCAGCTCCTGGTGACTGGCAGAAAACCTCTTGTAAAGTAAGCACTTGATTGCATTGAGCTCCCCTTTCACCAAAACCTCATATGTTGACCTTCCCCTATTGCCTCTTTGAAGCCGTCTCTCAGAGCTATCAGAGGTGTTGCCTCCTGGGCTGGGGTCCTCATTTTGTCCCAAATAAAACTTCACTTGCAACTCTGAGGTTGTGCAGTCTTTTCAGTCGACCATCTACTTTTCTATCCCCATGTCAACTTAATAAATGAAACATGAAAGTTGAGAAGTACGTTTTATTTGGTGGAATTCTTAGGACTTCAAGTCCAGGAGACAGCATCTCTAGTGAACCTGAGAGAACTGCTCCAAGGAGACAAGGGGGCTTGGGGAAGAGTCAGGTTAAGTAGAAGTTTTGCAACAAAGGTCAGGGAGTCTGAACTTCAAAAGTTTTTTTTTTTTCAAATTAAAGAAAACCAATTATCCTTAGTTAAGGAATTTAGTGCTTTTCTCTGTATAGGAAGATGCAAGAGTCTGGGCTCACTGAAATCATTCCTTCCATATGCATCTCAGCTATCTGCGGCCAGAATCCTGTGTTTTCACATCCTGAATTTCCTCAGGGCTCCCTATAGGGAATGGCTGCAGTCAGATGGATGCTAGAAGGCAGGTATTCTTTCTATCCTGGGTTCCCGCAGGGCTCACCAGCTCACCTTCCAAGGTGGCAGTAATTGCTGATGACTCTGACATCCTTGTTCACTGATACAGCAGGAAATATTCCATTTCTCACCCACAGCGTTTGATTCGGTCAAAGTCATTAAAAGGCAATTCTGGTTCACCTACAGCTGGGCGCGCTCCTTTTGAATTTTGAGTTCCACCTTCCATAGCTATGGTACTCAGTGATCATGGCAGATCACTGATGGTTTAGGATCTCAGATCATGGAGACAGAACTGACCACTTCGACCCCCTCCTTGCTAGCCATGGGACCTCACAGAGCTTCAATTTCCTTCTTTGTAATCTGGGGTGATAATGAAGGAGGAAACAGAAAGAACAGGCTCTGTCTTGAAAGCAGGACTCCATTGTGGGCCGGACTGTGCACTTTGCCCAGTATCTATGGAAACGACAGACCAACTGGAAAACCAGGCCCCGGGGAGGAAGAGCCCCAGGGCTCCTACCTAGAGTCTCCGTTGCCTAAAAGAACACCCTAATTATCTGTGTAACCGAATAGAACCATACATTCTATTATGCTTGTTGGGGTATGACCACAGGACTATTGATAACTGTCCACTGTTAACTACCTAGGCTTAAGGTATATGGATCACAGGTTAACTTTGATTATATCTTTTTTTTGCCCTTTGTTCAGACTAGTTTCAGGGAATTTGGGGAGGTGGGTTTGGGCACGTACACTTAGGGTATATAAGGTTTTCACAAAAACTGGTTAGGGTCCTTGGCTAAGAGGAGACTCTGCTTTGGGCCCGCCAGTGTAATAAACTGCACTTCACTATCTGCATCATCCTGAGTGAGTTTGTTTCCCGGAACGCGTGGTTACAACAATAATAGCAACTTCATCACCTGTGGCAGAACACTACCTGGCATGTGGTAAGCACTACGTAAGAATCAGATACCATTCAAAGCACTCACAGCAAACAGGGTGGGGTCAAGGAGGTCTGGGCAATGGGGGAGAAGCCAGCCCACCCACTTTTTCCATAGGGATCCCCTGATCTGGGGAGACAGTGACAAATGTGTAACTCAAAACCATGATAGGACAATATGTACAATCAAATGAGTTAGGAAGGGGAAGACATAAAGGCAGAAGCTGGAAAAACTAGACAACTGGCACATCATGGGAGGAAATGATGCTGACTCACTTCATCTCTGTGGATTAGCAAAGTTATGACCAACCTAGTCTGCATATGAAAAAGCAGAGACATTACTTTGCCAACAAAGGTCCATCTAGTCAAGGCTATGGTTTTTCCAGTGGTCATATATGGATGTGAGAGTTGGACTGTGAAGAAAGCTGAGCACCAAAGAATTGATGCTTTTGAACTGTGGTGTTGGAGGAGACTCTTGAGAGTCCCTTGGACTGCAAGGAGATCCAACCAGTCCATCCTAAAGGAGATCAGTCCTGGGTGTTCATTGGAAGGATTGATGCTGAAGCTGAAACTCCAGTACTTTGGCCACCTCATGTGAAGAGTTGACTCACTGGAAAAGACCCTGATGCTGGGAGGGATTGGGGGCAGGAGGAGAAGGGGACGACAGAGGATAAGATGGCTGGATGGCATCACCGACTCGATAGGCATGAGTTTGAGTAAACTCCAGGAGTTGGTGATGGACAGGGAGGCCTGGCGTGCTGCGATTCATGGGGTCGCAAAGAGTCGGACACGACTGAGCGACTGACCTGAACTGAACTGACCAGGGGGTAAGGAAACAGTCCTGACTGTTCATGCGTTGACTTTCCGGGGGGTGAGGGCTGTGATGGGCTTCCCTCGTGGCTCAGATGGTAAAGAATTCACCTTCACTGTGGGAAAGCTGGGTTCAGTACCCAGGTCAGAGATCCCCTGGAGGGGGCGTGGCAGCCCACTCCAGCGTTCTTGCCTGGAGAATCCCATGGACAGAGGAGCCTGGCGGGCTACAGTCCATGGGGTCGCAAAGAGTCAGATATGAATGAAGCAACTTAGCACGGACGCACAGAAGGGCTGTGATATCAAAAGGGAGCTTCACTCACTGCTTCACTCACTTCACTTCATCTGCTCTGATGAATTAGGGCTAGACACAGGTACTCCATTCCTCTTGAAACACTGGGTTCAGAGGATCAGACAATACAATTCTTGCAAGCACTAATTAACACTAATATCCACAGGGACTAGATCTGATGGACAGAGTGCCTGATGAACTATGGACGGAGGTTCGTGACTTTGTAAAGCAGACAGGGACCAAGACCATCCCCAAGAAAAAGAAATGCAAAAAGCAAAATGGCTGTCTGAGGAGGCCTTACAAATAGCTGTGAAAAGAAGAGAAGTGAAAACCAAAGGAGAAAAGGAAAGATATACCAATTTGAATGCAGAGTTCCAAAGAATAGCAAGGAGAGATATGAAGGCCTTCCTCAGCGATCAATGCAAAGAAATAGAGGAGAACAATAGAATGGGAAAGAATAGAGATCTCTTCAAGAAAATCAGAGATAGCAAGGGAACATTTCATGCAAAGATGGGCTCAATAAAGGACAGAAATGGTAGGGACCTAACAGAAGCAGAAGATATTAAGAAGAGGTGGCAAGAATACACAGAAAAACTGTACAAAAAAGATCTTCATGACCCAGATAATCACAATGGTGTGATCACTCACCTAGAGCCAGACATCCTGGAATGTGAAGTCAAGTGATCCTCAGGAAGCATCACCACGAACAAAGCTAGTGGAGGTGATGGAATTCCAGCTGAGTTATTTCAAATCCTAAAAGATGATGCTGTGAAAGTGCTGCACTCAATATGTCAGCAAATTTGGAAAACTCAGCAGTGGCCACAGGACTGGAAAAGGTCAGTTTTCACTCCAATCCCAAAAAAGGGCAATGCCAAAGAATGTTCAAACTACCACACAATTGAACTCATCTCACACGATAGTAAAGTAATGCTCAAAATTCTACAAGCCAGCCTTCAGCAATATGTGAACTGTGAACTTCCAGATGTTCAAGCTGGTTTTAGAAAAGGCAGAGGAACCAGAGATCAAATTGCCGACATCTGCTGGATCATCGAAAAAACAAGAGAGTTCTAGAGAAACATCTATTTCTGCTTTATTGACTATGCCAAAGCCTTTGACTGTGTGGATTACTATAAGCTGTGGAAAATTCTAAAAGAGATGGGAATAGCAGACCACCTGACCTGCCTCTTGAGAAAACTGTATGCAGGTCAGGAAGCAACAGTTAGAACTG